TCATCATCATCATCATCATCATCATCATCACCAGCAGCAGCAGCAGCTTTTTTTCCGGTCCTACAATACTTAAGCGATGGATGTTTCTCTTCCCTAGGGGTTTCATAGACTATCAGCGCAAAGTCAGTGACTACTGGCCTGAGTTTGCCGCCAATGGCAAGGAAGACGTTACAGTTGCCATGCTGTTGAGCCACCAGGTTCGTATGTATACAAACCGATATCATTTTTACTTGTCCCAATTATTTTACAACTACAGTTTTATGCAGCGTGACACCCGTCTGGACACTAGACACATTGTTTGGCTATTTTGAAGGCCAGGTGTGAGATCCCCTGTCAGTTCCCCGGGCTTAGGTGAAATATTCCTAGGATAATGAAAAAAAAACCAACATTTCAGAGTTGGTTCAGAGCAGAATTTCGACCTTAAAGTGAAGAACTGTTCAAAGGATGTACTTTAGCTTGGGAAAATGCAAGACGATAAGCGTAACTAAAGGAGAGCTGAAACAAAAGGAAGACGTAATAGAGAACCCTCCAGCTGGATGCACATTTGTGAGGCAGCGTGGTGGAATCAGGCTCTCGTCAAAATAATCAAAGTGAAGAAACTTGCATTTTTCCACAGGTTTGTGAATTTTCATCATTTTTTTTTTTTGGACACAACACCTTTTATGCCCATTAAAGAACTCATATCTGTGTGGATTTTTAAGAAAAAACGTAGATTAAAGGCATAAAAAATGAAAATTTCCAGTTACCACGGACTCTAAAGCTAAGGAAATAATAAGTAGTCTTTGGCAGCCATTTTCTCACTAATTTTACCTCTGAAAACAGGTGACCCCCGCCTCCTTCATTCGCAAATATCTCGACTTGTATTCAAGATAAATGGATATTTTTTTCATCCAAATAAAGACAATTGAACAAGCTGTAAGATGATACCAATAATTCCACGCTGCCTCACATTTGTTCTCAGCTCCTGAAATGGCAAATTTTGAGTTTAATAGTGTAATGTATAGGTAAGGAACGTTGTAACAAATTGTTAAACCTGTGTTATATCAGCACCTAACATCAAACACGAACAGCGCAGTATCAGAAAATGAAATATTTTCTAATTTAAATGTTGCTGACTTATTTCAGAAGAGTTTTAACTCTGATAGAATATTTAAGAAAATTTAACCTTTATCCTCCCACCTACCACACCCTCCTCCCTTCCTCTGTCATTTATTCCACAACCACCACCACCTTCTTCCAGGCTGGACTTATGCACTTGAGTCGTGGGTTGACTCTTTACGACTACCGGGATCAGTGGGAGCTCGTTGAGGAGCTAATGGCGAAACAAGAGCCGATGTGGCTTCCTGGTAATTTGTGTTTGTTTGCTCTACCTTTTCATACAGTTGCTGTAATATCTAGATACCTACCTCACAGTCGTCGTCATGGTTGGTAGTGATATATATAGTAGTAGTAGTAGTAGTAGTAGTAGTAGTAGTAGTAGTAGTAGTAGTAGTA